CCAGCCAGGAGGGACACGGGTCCAACAAACAAGTGGTGGCATTCAGTCGCCCCAGCACTCTGTCCATGTCTTCTGGAGTCACGGGGTCAAACTCAACCCATAGATTGGAATCAAGGCCCGCCTCCGTCATCGCGCCCAGACCAACCCGTTCGGAGGTCAGCCCTTCCCGAATCCGAGCGATTTTATCTTGCAGGAAACTTGCAAACTCCTCTGCCCGCCCTTGCAAGGGGGCCCCTTGTGCCCCCTGATGTAGGAGGGAGCGGGACACCCGAAAAAGGGCGGCAGGGCGGTTTCCCGCAGACACGATGAGGGCAGAAAAGTAGTTACGCTTCGCTGCCCTCAACGCCACTAGGTAAGTCCTTAAATGTGACCTTACCCGTGTCTGTCTGTCTGTCTGTCTGTCTATCTATCTATCTATCTATCTATCTATCTATCTATCTATCTATCTATCTATCTATCTATCTATCTATCTATCTATCTATCTATATCTATCTATCTATCTATCTATCATGTATCTATCTATCATGTATCTATCTATCTGTCTATCCATCTGTCTTTCTGTCTGTCTGTCTGTCTGTCTGTCTGTCTGTCTGTCTGTCTGTCTATCTATCTATCTATCTATCTATCATCTATCTATCTATCTATCTATCTATCTATCTATCTATCTATCTCTATCTCTCTATCATCTATCATCTAATCTGTCTGTCTGTCTGTCTGTCTGTCTATCTATCTATCATGTATCTATCTATCATGTATCTATCTATCTGTGTCTATCCATCTGTCTTTCTGTCTGTCTGTCTGTCTATCTATCTATCTATCTATCTATCTATCTATCTATCTATCTATCTATCTATCTATCTATCTATCTGTCTGTCTGTCTGTCTGTCTGTCTATCTATCTATTTATCTATCTATCTCTATCTCTCTATCATCTATCATCTAATCTGTCTGTCTGTCTATCTATCATGTATCTGTCTGTCCATCTATCTATTTATTTATATATCTATATCTATCTATCTATCATCTATCTATCTATCATCTATCATCTGTCTGTCTATCTATCTGTCTGTCTATCTATCTATCTATCTATCTATCTATCTATCTATCTATCTATCTATCATGTATCTATCTATTTATCTATCTCTCTATCTCTCTATCTCTCTATCTATCTATCTATCTATATTCTCTCTCTCATATATATATATATATGTATGCATGTGTGTATCTATATGTATGTATATATATGAATATATGTATGTGTGTATGTGTGTGTGTATAGATAGATAGATAGATAGATAGATAGATAGATAGATAGATATGTATGTGTGTATATAGATATGTATGTGTATAGGTATATATATGCATATATATGTATATGTGCATATGTGTGTGTGTATACATACTATACATATATGTACGTGTGCTTACATGTGTGCGTAGGGTTTTATATATGTATATTTCCTTCTGATAGCTGCCATCAGAACCTCCTTCCTCCAGGGGTGCCGGGGTGTTCGCAGAAAACAGCTTCTCTTTCTCTCCTCTCCAGAGATGGACCTGGAGCTGAAACGGGTCGGCACCAAGGTCCACACCCTGCAGGAGGAGGTCAACCTCCTGCGGACGTACATGGACAAGGAGTATCCGCTGAAGGCCGTCCAGATCTCCTCCCTCCTGCGCAACATCCGGAACCTGAATGAAGAGCAACAGGTGGGCTGAGGGGGGGGCCCTGCAGTCCTCGGACCCTTCTTTAAAGACCACCCCCCCCCATTCTCTTTCTGCTCTTCTGCCCCCCTGCAGTACGAATTGGAAGACACCGAAGATCTGGCCAAGCGGTTCCTGGACTCCTTAGCGGGAAAAGCCCGGGACGAGCAGGAGCGCATTCTGCAGTCGGTGGCCGATGTGAGTGGAATCCCCAAAAGAGGAACTGGACTTTCTTGAGGGTTTTTCCCCCCAATCAATCAGTCAGAATACAGCTGGAAGGGAGCTTGGAGGTCATCTAGTCCAACCCACTGCTCAAGCAGGAGAGCTTATGCCATTTCAATCAATCAATCAATCAATCAATCAATCAATCAGAATAGAGTTGGAAGGGAGCTTAGAGGTCATCTAGTCCAGGGCTTTTCAACCTTTTCACCCATTGTACCACTTTTAGGATATGGCAACATCCGAGTACCACCAGTCGCCTAGCAAGGTGTCAAAAACTTGATGACCCCCCCCCAAAAAAAGGAAAGGAAAAAAGTGATGAAGTACAGGAAGTCCTCAACTTACAACAGTTCGCTTAGTGACTGTTTGAAGTTACAATGGCACTGAAAAAAGCCCCCCCCCAAGCCATAGCCGAGCAAGACACCTGCCTGCCCACCCGGCGGCGCTCTTCCTCCTGTCCGAGGTTTTCATTGTTGTGAGCATTTCTGTTGAGGATTGGCAGCGGGGGTGGGGTGGGGGGTGTTTGGTTTTTATTCCCCCCGTCTGCTGGGTGATTGCAGCAGGTTTTGGTCACTTCACATGACCCTGGGACACTGTGACCATCATAAATATGAATCCGTTGCCAAGCATCTGAATGTAAATCACAAGACCCTGGAGATGCTGCAACATTCCAGCTGATCGGCGCTTCTTCTGGGCTCACTTTTCTAGGATGGTCGCATACCACCTGCCAGGTGCCAATGTACCACAGGTGGTACCCGTACCACTGGTTGAAAAGCCCTGATCTAGTCCAACCCCCTGCTCATATGGGAGACCTATATCATTTCAGGCAAATGGCTGTCCAGTCTCTTCTTGAAAACGTCCAGTGTTGGAGCATTCACCGCTTCTGGAGGCAGGTTGTTCCACTGGTTAATAGTTCTCACTGTCAGGAAGTTTCTCCTTAGTTCTAGGTTGCTTCTCTCTTTGGTTAGTTTCCCTCCATTGCTTCTTGTCCTGCCTTCAGGTGCTTTGGAGAATAGCTTGACTCCCTCTTCTTTGGGGCAGCCCCTGAGATACTGGAATCCTGCTATCATGTCACCCCTCGTCCTTCTCTTCATTAAATAGAATAGAATAGAATAGAATAGAATATATGGAATGGAAAATATGGAATGGAATGGAATGGAATAGAATAATAGAATAGAATAGAAGAATAGAATAGAATAGAATAGAATAGAATAGAATAGAATAGAATAGAATAGAATAGAATAGAATAGCTATTGGCTTGTCCCACACGGGCTGAAAAAGATCACAAAACCTGGTCACCGTGCAACCGTCATAAGTCCATGCCAGTTGCCAAGCATCTGGATTTGGATCATGTGACCGTGGGGGAACGCTACGACGGTCGTAAGTGGGAGGACCGGTCCTAAATCTCTTTTTTTTCAGTGCTAACCAAACGGCTAAATGAACAGTTAAAAGTCGAGGACCACCTCTATTTAAGGGATCTTGCCGCCTCACGTGGCCAGCCAGAAATCATGAACCGCTGTTCCGTTCCCGTCTTAAATTTTGTCGTCTTTCTTTTTTTTGTCGTTCTAGAAGACGCTGCTGCAGTATCAGGACGGCCTGGAGCAGATGCACCGGAACAACGTGGAACTGAGAAGGCAGATAAAAGCGCAAAAGGAGGCAAGGAAATCTGGGAATTGCAGTCAGTTAACTTGGCAAAGAACTCAGCTGATGTTCAGGATTGGTTAGGAAGTTCTTCTCTTGATCACCTGGTGGCGACCTGTTCCTTCGTGGTCGCTAGAAACTGTTACGTATAGATGACAAAGGGAAATCCTGAGTTGAGGTCTCTGCTATGCAGGTAGTCCTCGATTTACAACTGCTCCTTTAGTTCAAAGTTACAACGGCACCCCCCAAAAAAAGTGACTTAAGAACCTTTTTTACACCTACGACCGTTGCAGCATCTCTGTGGTCATGTCGTCGAAAATCAAACACTTGGCAACTGACTCATACTGATGATGGTTGCACAGTGTCCCGGGTTCACACAATCCCCTTTTTGCGACCTTCTGGGAAGCAAAGTCATTGGGGGAAGCCAGATTCACTTAACAACCATGTGGCTGCATTGATTCACTTAACAACTGCAGGAAGAAAGGAAGTAAAATGGGGCAAAGTTCACAAATGGGAAACAAATGTTTCACTTAGCAACAGAAATTTTGGACTCAATTGTGGTCGTAAGCCGAGGACTACCTGTACTTAAAGAAAAATTATTAACTTATCATCTGTCTGTCTGTCTGTCTCTCTCTCTCTCTCTGTGTGTCTCTTCTATCCATCTATCTATCTATCTATCTATCTATCTATCTATCTATCTATCTACCCACCCACCCATCATCTATCTATCTATCTATCTATCTATCTATCTATCTATCTATCTATCTATCTATCTATCTATCTATCTATCTATCTATCTATCTATCTATCTATCATCTATCTATCATCTATCTATCTATCTATCTATCTATCATCTATCTATCTATCTATCTATCTATCTATCTATCTATCTATCTATCTATCTATCTATCTATCTATCTATCTATCTATCTATCTATCTATCTATCTATCTATCTATATCTGTCTGTCTCCAAGGTCCCTTCCAACAACAACAACAATAACTTCTGCAACAACGCTGCAACCCCATAAATACGACTCAGTTGTCAAGTGTCCGAGTCCATTTAGCGACCGCTTGAAGTTATGAGTTATGACGGCACTGAAAAAAAGGGATTTACGACCGTTTTTTACACTGAACGACCATTGCAGCATCTCCACACGAATATGTGATCCAGACTCAGATGCCTGGCAAGTGGCTCACTTTGATGACGGTTTGCAGTGCCCTGGGGTCACGTGACCCCCTTTTGGCGACCAGTGGAACAACCTGCCTCCAGAAGCAGTGAATGCTCCAACACTGGAAGTTTTTAAGAAGAGACTGGACAGCCCTTTGTCCGAAATAGTATAGGGTTTCCTGCCTGAGCAGGGGGTTGGACTAGATGACCTCCAAGATCCCTTCCAACTACTACTACTACTACTACTACTACTTCTTCTTCTTCTTCATTTCTTCTTATTCTTATTCTTATTACTATTACTATTACTATTACTATTACTATTATTTCAGGTGATCGACGACCTGGTGAAGGAAGTGAAGGAGCTGCACAAGAGCATCATTGTCCTGCATCACTCGGCTGGGGACCCCTACAACACCATTTTTCCCGACGTCCTTCTGCGCCGGCCCAAGTACGGCCTCCCTTTTCGCCTTCACGTCTCTTGTCGGGCAGCCACATGGGTTGCATACAACTGCCATGTTTTCCCGAAAGTAAGGCCTACACCGGGGGGTAGGCCACCTTGGCTCTTTTATGACTCGTGGACTTCAACTCCCAGAATTCCTGAGCCAGCATGGGGGAACTATGGCCCCCTCATGACTCGTGGACTTCAACTCCCAGAATTCCTGAGCCAGCATGGCTCAGCTTGGAAACCTCTCCCTTTCCCCTCAGCGTGGCTGGCTCGGGAATTCTGGGAGTTGAAGTCCACCAGTCATAAAAGAGCCACGGTTGCCTACCCCTGCCCAAATTATTATTATTATTATTATTATTTTTATTAAATTAAATTTATATCCCGCCCTTCTCCTTGCGGACTCAGGGCGGCTGACAATCGATTAAAAATACATAAATAACAGTTACAGAATTAAAATTAATTAAAAAGAAATATTTAAACGTAGTCCAATTAAAATATAATTAAAACCCCTCTAAAAATTACCCTAGGCCAGTCCTGCAAGCTGGAATAACCAAGTCTT